ATGCCACATTTCATCATTCTGTCATTGCAATCCTGAACTATGGCATCACAATGCTGTGTTGTGCAATCACAATACTGAATTGTGATATCACAGTGTTCCATGCTGCATTTTGACATCCCAATAACCCATTGTATCATCATATTGCTGAATTGTGACATCTCGATGCTGCAGTGTGCCATCAAAATGCTCCAGTGTGCCATCACTAGAGTATATGGTTCTATAATAAGTCTACATCGTGGTACCATAAATGTGAATTGTGATATCATAATGTTTTAATGTTTTGTTGTGGCATTGACATAATCCATTCTGCTATCACAATGCTTTTTTTTGTCTCTGAAACAGGGTCTATCCTGTAGCCAGAGCTGGCCTGGTACTCACTATGTAGACCAGGCTGGCCTTGAACTGACAGAAATCCACTTGCCTCTGCCTCTTGAATGCTGGGATTAAAGGCATGTGCCACCATGCCCGGCATTACACAATACTGTCTATGACATCACAATGCTCCTGTCTTGTCACAATGAAGCATTGTGACAATGTAATGCCAACTTATTACATCATATTGTTCCATCATGACACCACAACCCCGCATAGTGACAAACATTACTCCAATGTGCCATCACCATGTTGAATGTTACAATGCTCCATGTAACATCAGAATGTTGAATCGTCACTTCACAATGCTTCATTGTTCCAACACAAGGCTGCACTGTGCCGTCACAATGCTCCACTGTACCATAGGTAGTTTTGAGAGTTACAAAGCAGATTTGGGTGTAGGCTATATAACACTGTGCCAGCATTCAGTAAATACCACCAGAGGATAGATATCTATATTTTTATTTTATCGTTTTATTCACTTATTGTCTTGGTTTTTTGGAGACAAATGTTTTGCTGTGTAGCCTAGGTTAGCCTTCAACTTCAATCTTCTCCTTCCATATCCCAAATTCTGGGTTCACAACATAGCATTAGGAAGAAATTTTTGTCTGGGCAGCTGCTAGGCTTTTAGGGCTGAACCAGTTCATGGGAGCAGTGCACATCATTCTTCCCACAGTTCTGATCTGGACAGTCTTTCTAATTGGTCCACAAGGCAGCATGAAAGTGGTAGGTGGCATGAAGTGTCAGGCAGATAGGAAAAAAGACTGATCGTTTTGAGCTCCCAAGGCTGGAGGTGGCACAGCTGTCAGAAAAGCCTCCCCTGACCTCAGGAGGGCCAGTCCTCTCCAGGAGCACTCTCCTCTGGCCAGCGGGGCCTTTTTCTCACTGGTTTGTTCCTGATTACCCTCCACAGGGCCTGGTTCCCTTTCTCTTCCCAGGCAGGCCCTCTCTCCAGTTTCAGGATAGTTCTGATGGCATTGGGGGAGGAATCAGGTGTAGGGCAGCAGTGTGAAGGGAGTAAGGGTCAGCTTCCTCTTCAGACTTTTTACCACTCAGTTTCCCAAGTCTGTGACATGTGAATCATTCTGTTACTGGGCAAACAGAATTTGCCTTTGGGGAGTCTTAGTCTCATTAATAAAAGAACTTAGAAGTGGACTCAAAGGAAACTCTAGGACAGTTTTATTAGAGTTTAAGAGAAAAATATAGGTTAAATGAAAAATCTCTGCAGTCGCCAGGAGTGGTGGAGGAAAAGGTCATATCTTTTTAAGTCAGGCATAGACTAGAAATAGATTAAGAAAGGAAAAGTAGGAGTGGGAGAGATTGCTCGGTGGTTAAGAGCACTGGCTGCTCTTGTGGACCTGGGTTCAATTCCCAGCACCTACATGGCTGCTAACAACCATTTGTAACTCCAGTTCCAGGGGATCTGACACCCTCTTCTGACCTCTGTGGGCACTGCACAACACGGGTGCACTTACATGCATGCAGGCAATACACTCATATTTTTTTTTTTAAAAAAGCACTCTCAAGAAAGGAAGTGGGATAGTAAGCTGAGAAAGAACCCCCAAAGCACCTAGCCTTGCAGCGTACAGTCCCGTTTCCTCCCATTTGTATTTCCCAGTTTTTGTTTTCTGCATGCTGTTAGATGATGCCAGAATTTGGAAGACTTCCCTTCCAATTGGCTTCTTTCACATGTTGATCTATTTTTGTGTGTGTACGAGTGCATTGCCTGTATGCACGTAAGTGCACCTGTACTGCACAATGCCCATGGGCCTGATTTCCCTGGAACTGGAGTTGTGGATGGTTGTTAGTCGCCATGTGGGTGCTGAGACTTGAACCCAGGTCTTCTGCAAGAGCAGCCAGTGCTCTTAACCACTGAAGCATCTCTGCAGTCCATCACATGTAAATTTTAATATACCTTTGTTGTTCTTTCATATCTTAATTCTTCCTCACAAGGTTTTAAATCTGAGGCCTCGAGGGGCTGGCGTGATGGCTCAGAGGTTAAGAGCACGGGCTGCTTTTGCAGAGGACCTGTGTTTGGCTCCCAGCACTTACATGGTAGCTAATAACTGTCCATAACTCTGTAACTCCAGTTCCAGGGATCTGATGCACTCTTCTGGCCTCCACAGACACTGCATGCATAGGTGCACTTACACAGATACAGGCAAAACACTCGTACAGATAAAATGAAAAATAAAAAATTACAAAAATGTGTATCTGTGGCATCTGGGGAGAGGCAGAGTCAGAGCCAAGTGGGAGTAGGGTAGTGGGAGAACAGAAAGTTGCAGACCTTCCAGAATTCAAAATAAAACCTCTTTATTCTTGGCACTGCATCTTTGCCTGCTCAGATTTAGTCTGTTCCAGGCTCAGGATTCCTGGTACCCCACTCTCCATTAGGGTCCTGAGTGGGTGCTGTTCCCTGGTCTTTCCTCCCCTGGATAGGGGGACAGTTGTGACAGCTTTCTGGGAAAGCTGCCAGAGTGGCAACCAATCATGCAGCCATCTGAGGAGCATTCAGGACCCAGGATGACTTCTTCCCTCGTTAAGACTCGGGATGTTCCAAAGGAAGGTGAAACACTGCACGCTGCAGGGAAGCTCATTAAGCTCAGAAAATAACTCAATCAAAAGCTTCAGGAAGCCCCTGAAACTGACCAGATTCCTCAGTTCCCCCCTCCCCAGGCATATATAAGCCTCAGACTAGACCAGCTGCCCGGAAGAGCTGAGCTCCGACCAACGGAGATACCTGGAAAAGACTACAACCTCCAAGCTGCTCCAAGCTCTGCACTGGGCTCAGGTTTCCGGCTTTCATGAGCTGTCACCCATGCTGGGGTGGGCTTTTGTTGACACAGCTGTCTTTTGAGTTATTTCTGCTCCAGTAAGCAACTCTTCAACCACACTCCTGTTAATAACCCCAAGAAAGCGCATTTGTTCACCAAGTTGGACTTTGGTGGTGTCCTTACTTTGATCTGTCATGGGTTTCCTATCTGGGGTAGACACTTGTTTCTATCTCCCCAGTAACAGTGTCACACACCACCTCCATGCTTTGTTTTTTGTTAATGAATTCGGAAAAATATTCCCAACTACTGCTGTTTTGACAGCAGTGATTTCAACTATCCACCATTACCCACCCTCAAGACATTCAGATTGGTATTCTTTACATAGCATAAAGGTCTGAACAAAGACTACCCACAAACACCCTTTTTCCATTTATAGTTTAATAATAACAAAAAGTGGTAAAAGATCTTCTTTCCTATAATTACTTCTCTTCTCCATTGTAAATCCTCTGGTTTTGACAAAGGTAAATACCATAGTTAAAAGTCCTTTCCGCTGGGTGTGGTGGCCCATGCCTTTAATCCCAGCAAAGGTAAAACGCTTGCTTAGAATTTACCAGTGAGGGACTGGGGCCGTGGCTCAGTGGTAGAGCAGTTGCCTAGAATCAATCCATCAGAGAGGCTCAGGTATGGCACAGATGTAAAGCACTTGCCTAGAATCTACCAATGAGGGGCTGGGAGCTTGGCTCAGTGGCAGAGCCATTGCCTAGAACATAGCAGTGAGGGGTGGAGCTCAACGATACAGCCTGGCATGTACAAAGCCCTGGCTTCTATCCTCAGCAACACACACACACACACACACACACACACAAATCCTGGTGATAAATCATAATAAAGACAATTAAAAAAACTAGTATATCAATGACAACAGCAAAGCTTTTATTAAGCCCACACTATATGCTAGGAATACAGCTAAGTTCTTTATATTTATGAATTCATTGAGTTTTCTCATAGTAAACCAATGCATACATATGACTGTATATATAACGTAAGAAATAAAGCACCACTAACATATAAGGGAAAAAAATCAAGGAAAAAACCTTTTCTAACAGAAATTACCTCTCTAATATGACACTAGGACTAGGGTTAATGAAGAGAAACAAAATAGCACACAAGGGGAAAGGGTGAATAAATGTTCTAAATTCTAAAAGGAAAAAAAGCATCAAGAAATTTTGGGTAGTATTGATGAAGACAATTTTTATAACTAGAAAAATTTAGAAGCAACCATAAGTCATTTAAAAAAGATATGTCATTACAATAAAAATCCCTATCTACTGAAAATGTAACTTATTTTTAGGATGATAAAAGCAGGTGAAGGATGAATACAAATACTATGACTATGCTTTCTTAAAAAACAACATCCAGCAGAACTGGTTCTATCAATTTGATAGTCGTCATCTATAATCAGGATGATTACATTTAATTTTGGCACTTATGAAATGAAGCAAAAAGATTGACATGGCCTCAAACACAACATTAGAATTCCACAAGGAATTTAAAATTATTCAAGGTCCCAAAATTTAAGCATTATGATTGTAGTGCAAACATCAAATATAAAATTTGGGAATCAAAAGATAGCCCTAAAAAATAAGCAAACATAAGCAACAGTGCAATGTATCTCCAAACAAAGGGGAAATAAAAAACTATTGACCAACTAACATTGGCATAAGGCTGGGAGTATACACTTGGACTTGGAATTCATTACCTACAGTTAAATGCATTTGGACTGAAAACTTAAATATCAAATCAAATGAGGGGAAAGAAAATTAACTATGAGACCTAAACCCTTATTATTCACTAGTATGAATGCCCTGATGGCGAACAAGGTCTGAACCACTACTAAAGGCTTTTCCACATTCCTTACAGTCATAGGGCTTGTCACCACTATGAATTCTCTGATGCCGGGTAAGGTTTGAACATTTATTAAATGCCTTTCCACATTCATTACATTCATATGGTTTTTCATCCGTGTGGACTCTCTGATGTTGAAAAAGTTGGGAGTTCTGAGTAAATGACTTTCCACATTCAGAACATTCAAAAGGTTTCTCACCGGCATGAATTCTTTGATGTTGCCGAAGTTGGGAACTCTGAGTAAAGGCCTTCCCACATTCCTTACAATCATAGGGTTTCTCACCAGTGTGGATTCTCTGATGGTTTGTAAGTGCTGAGCCACTACTAAAGGCTTTCCCACATTCCTTGCACTCATAGGGTTTCTCACCAGTGTGGGTTCTCTGATGCTGAACAAGCTTTGAGCTCTGAGTAAAGGCTTTGCCACATTCCTTACATTCATAGGGTTTCTCACCTGTATGAACTCGTGCATGTTGAAAAAGCTGTGAGCTCTTTGTAAAGGCTTTCCCACATACTTTACATACATAAGGTTTTTCACCAGTGTGAATTCTCTGGTGGTCAATAAGGTTTGAGCAGTAACTAAAGGCTTTCCCACATTCCTTACATTCATAGGGTTTCTTACCAGTATGTATTCTCTGATGCTGAGAAAGGTATGAGCTACAACTGAAGGCCTTCCCACAGTCTTTACATTCAAAGGGCTTTTCACCAGTATGAATTTTCAGATGTCGAGTGACATGTGAACCACAACTAAAGAATTTCCCACACTCCTTACATTCATAAGACTTTTCACCAATATGAATTCTCTGATGTTGAATAAATTGTGAGTTATGACTAAAGACCTTCCTACATTTCTTACATTCATAGGGTTTCTCTTCATTATTAATTATTTGACGTAGGGAAATGAAAGTCTGTTGCATAAATGTGGGTGTGTATTCACTAGGAAGCACCTCTTGGTTTAAATGCCCATTTTGGTATCCCATTTGTCTTGTAAAGTGGTTTCCAAATTCCAGAACATCTCTAAAACTGGAGTACTCAAGGCCATGCTTTGTAAGCCCCATCATCTCCCTCTGGCATGATTCTATTTCGTAAACTTCCTTCTTTAGAGATAACAACTTGCTTTCACACATTGACTCCAGAGCTGAAAGAAAAGAACACGACAGTCATTTTTCTCTTTTTAACTGGAAAAACTTGAACTTTCATGATGGAAATGGAAAAATTAAAGTGAAAATAATATCTAGTGGGGGAATGACATTTAACATGAAAAATGGACAAAGAACACAGAGCAATTAACAAGATATAATGCAAAAGCAGAAGAGGACTATGGGAATACCTGACCAACAGTGATTCTTAAATATGGATGTGGGTCAGAATAATCTGGAAAAGTTGGTCAACAAACAATGCTTGGGACACATAATCAACACGATTAGGTACATATAGATGGAAAAGATTCCTGGATATTTGGTGAGATAAACAAATAATAAATTTGTTATTTTTTCTTTTTGTCGTTTTTGAGGCAGGGTCTCCCTGTAGCCCCAGCTGATCTGGAACTCACTATGTAGACCAGGCTGGCCTCCAATTTACAGAGATCTGCCTGCCTCTACCTCCCGTGTGCTGGGATTAAAGGCGTAAGCTACCACTGGCAGCATAAATTTGTTATTTTTTATTTGGTTTTGTTTGTTTTGATTAATAAAAGAATTTAAGGACTCCAAAGGGAAGCTTGAGGACAATTTTATTTGAGTTTAAAAGAAAAACACCTCAAGGCAGGCAAGCTGTAAATCTCAGAAGCTGCCCAGAGGAGAAGAATCTAGGGAGGAAGGAAAAAAGCCATGTCATTTGTGTTGGCATGAGGATCAGACAAGCAGCCGCGTGGTGAAGGAGGCTTTAGAGAGAGAGTAAGGAAGTCCAATGTACCAGAAAAGCATACTTAGGTTCTGGCCAGCATCCAAAGGAAAGAGATAGAAAAAAGGAAAAGGAAAGTTGACCTTTCTGACTCAGGCCTCAGAAAGGCAGCCAAATCTCATGGTGGCTTGTAGGGACTGTCTGTTTTAAGACAGGGCCTTACTAGGTAGCCCTGGCTAACCTGGAACTCCCTATGTAGACCTGGCTGGTCTCAAATTCACAGAGATTGGCCTATCTCTACCTCTGCCTCTCAAGAATGGGAATAAAGGAATGTATCACCATGCCTGCCATAACCTACCCCCACCCCCTAGCCCTCCCTCCAACACGAGGTCTCACTATATAACCCAAGCTGTTCTGGAACTGTTTTTTCCTGCTGCAGTTTCTCGAGTGCTTTGATTATAGGCCGTGGAATCACACTGGTCTTTGTCCTACTTTTCTGGCATAGACCTTCAAAAACCTGCGAGATTCTCTCAATGATAGCAGTATCTTTGTACTGCTGAGGCAATTCATGATAGTCCCTTACAAAGCTTCAGCTATTGGGGCTGGACACCAGAAAGGCAAATCAGATTATTAGATTTCAGCTATCTTAAAAACAAACGGCTTCACAAAGAAATGCACAGATTTCCTACCTGGAAGGATTCAATATATTGCCTTAATATGTATTTATAATAAAACTACATAGAGAGCTTTCTTGAGTTATATGAATCATTCAGCAAATTATTAAACATGAAGGGATCTTGAAAACCCATAAACTTAAAGGAGATCAAATTGTAGGTGGGTCCCAAGATTTGGGGCTGGCATCTAAAGTGAGCGCAGCACTGTAGGAGACTGTAAGGTCTGCACTCATCTGAACAGTGTCAGAACTGAATGGCAGCACATTCAGTTGGGGTGGAAACAGTGGTAAGCTCCATAATAAAAGATGCAGTAGATGAAATCTGAAAGCCTTAACAGAGGATTTTATCTATACGGATGAAGAGCCTAAATGTGTTGAAGGTACTAAGCTAATTTGATTTAAGTGTCACAGAGACACTCAGAATATTTTCATGTCTTGTGGATTTAATGAAAATGTTATTTGCTTTGGGATTTTATTTGCTGATCTTGGGAGAGGACACCTGTGTACCACCCCAGTGACTGAGAGGAGAGGCTGCCAGAGTTTAAGGGAGACAGAAACAAATTAAGACAGAGAAGAACATATTGCTATGGAAAGATGGCAGGTACCAGACTGATGAGAGTTGAACCCAAATTTTTCTGTTATTTTATTTTACTTTATTTATCAGTTTTATTTATTTTATTATTTTATATTTTATGTGAATGTGTGTATTGCCTGCATGTAGGTAAGTGCCCCCGTGTTGTGCAATGCCTGTGGAGGACAGAAGGATCTGTTGGATCCCCTGGAACTGGAGTTACAGACAGTTATTAGTTGCCATGTGGGTGCTGGATTCGAACCCAGGTCTTCTGCAAGAACAGTGTTCTTAACTGCTGAGCCATCTCTCCAGCCCCCCTGTTTTGTTTTTATCAAGACAGGGTCTCACTATCCATCCCAGGATGGCCTCAAACTCTTGACCCTTCTACCGCTGCTTCTTTTTTTAAAAAATGTTTTATTATTTTTATTTTATGTGTAATGAGTGTATTGCCTGTATGTATGTAAATTCACCCATGTCATGAAATGCCTGTGAAGGTCAGAATAAGGTGTCGGAGCCCCTGGAACTGGCGTTACAGATGGTTGTTAGCTGCCATGTGCATGCTAAGAACCAAACCCAGGTCCTCTGCAAGAGCAGTCAGTGCTCTTAATTGCTAAGCCATCTCTCTAGCCCCCCACCTCTGCTTCTAAGTGCTGGGATTACAAGCATGTGCCACCATACCTGCTGTCTGAGTCCCAATTCTGATAGTTCAACACTGTATGTTCAGTGTCAACTCCATTTCTTTATGTTTAAAAGGGAAATAATCCTAAACTCAAGATTGCTGGGAGAATATGAAAGAATGTATATAAATGCACTGGAGTTAAACAGTCAGTGTGTACAGATGTGATTGTGAAAGATTCTTGCTACCTCTGCATGGTGGTGTACATTTATGATCCCAGCACTCAGGATTGAGGCAGGAGCACTGCAAATTTGATGCTACCTTAGGCTAAATCGTGAGACTCTATCCGCTATCTGAAAAATAAATAAACAACAAAAAACCTCAAATATTACCTTTTCTAAGTTCCCTTTATAATATTACCACATGATATTTTATGTGTAATATATGAATATAAAATATACATTACTTATTATTTTATATGTATACAGTAAAAGAGTAATCACTTCCAAGGATGCAATTACTATCTCAGTATAGATTAAATCCATTTCTCTCTATATAAGTCTGATTTCCTATTTTGGAGACAAGGTCTCACTATGTAGGCCAGGCTGCTTTAAACTCACGGTTTTCCTGTCTCAGCTTTCTAAATGCTGGGGTTACAGGTGTGTACCATCATACCTGGCTAGTCTCTGACTTGGTGCTAAGTCTGCTACCTGGCTTCTCTTTTACTGTATAACACAAAATCAGATGTTTTAATATATAGTTATGTAAAGCACAGTTCTGTCATATATTTACTGGATCTGAATTTAATAATATAATACATGGCATCTACTGTGTTTAGTAAGTTTACTTCCACTTATAGTTTACCACAGATCTTTCTTTCTCTGCCACTTCTTCCTTCTCAAGACAGGCAGACTGCTTTGTTTTATTCTTTTCCCTCTAATAACGTCTTTATACACACTGACTATACAACAGTTCCAAGTACTATTTCAGTGTGAATTAAATCTACTTCTATATATTCAGTCCCCTGACATTCTGCTAGGCTCCCTAACTGGCTTCTCTTTCACTGTATTTGTCTCTGTGGAAGTTATTTTTGTTATTGTTGTTTTTAATCTTTTTAAGACAGGGTCTCCCTGGAACTATGTAAACCAGGCTGGCCTTGAACTCACAGAGATCTGCCTGCCTCTGCCTCCGGAGTGCTGGGATTAAAGGCGTGTGCCACCACGCCTGGTAGGAAGTTGTTTACAGATATATTTTAGCACCACTTTTAGATTCTGAATCTTGTTTAGTATCAAAAGTTTTCATGTACTGTGGATGGAAGCCTTTCAGTTTTTCAGTGCTGGTAATCAAACGTAGGGCCTTGGGCATACTAGGCAAGAACTCTGTCACTGAGCTGTAAGCCTGGCCTATAGACTGTGAATCTTAATGCTGACATAATTAGTACACCTGGGCTCCCAGCAGACCTCCTTACACAAAGTAAAAAAATAAAAATGTTCAATGGAGGCCAGGCACAGTGGCACACACCTTTAGTCCCAGCACTTGGGAGGCAGAGGCAGGCGGATCTCTGTGAGTTCAAGGCCAGCCTGGTCGACATAGAGAGTTCCAGGACAGCTGGGGCTACAGGGACACCCTGTCTCAAAAAGACCAACAACAACAAAAAGTCAATGGAGAAGGAAAAAAATCCAAGAGAAACTGACAAGTTGCTGAAAGGCAGCTGTAATGAAGTAATCCACATGCCCATATTCACAGACAATTAGATCATTTTGGGAGTGATGAAAGTCTAAATGTAAAAGAGAATCAAACGCTAAGGAGCTGAATCTGTATTTCATTGTTTTCGGTGACAGTCTCACACCGTAGTCCAGGCTGTCCTGGAACTTGCAATCTTCCTGACTCAACCTCAGAGCTGAATCTAAAATATGGAAGTTTTCTTTGGAGACATGAAAGGCACCTTCCACTGGGAATTAACAGTATTTGAGAAACAGTGGTAAATGAGGGAAGGGATGAAGGCGGCTACTTGTAAACTCATCCTAAAAGAACTTGCTTTTCTGGCCCATCAAGATGGCTCAGTGGGTAAAGGTTACTTGCCACCAAGCCTGATGAACTGAGTTTGATTCCCAGGACTCACGTGGTGGAGAAGAGAACTGACTCCCACAAGTTGTCCCCTGACCTCCACATACTCACTATGGTACATGTGTGATCCCTGTCCCTACATAAATAAATAAACGTCATTTTAAAACATTTTGAAAAAACACTTGGTTTCTCCTCAGGCCTAGGTTCCTAGAGAAGGTTCCTCTGTAACATCGCCAAGGTGCTGTTTCCTCACTTACCAGCTGAGTGATTCCTGTATCCATTGCTCTGGGTCATCTCTCACTTACCTGAGCACAGGCCTTTTGTAAGCTCTTTGCCAATCATCCAGGGCTCTTTGCCTTGCTCCAATAGAGAGATGACTTGAGGCTTGGGAATGTGAAGTCCTGCTCACGAGAAAAGATATGGAACATGATTATGCTGTAGGGAAACATCCAATCCCTGGATGGTCAAGCAAGAGATGCCATGGCAGGAAAAGCCAGAGATGGAGACGGGGCTTTAGTCACAGCCCACTGGAGCTGCCAGTTTCCCAAGCTTCATTTTCAGCCCAGCTGACACCATTTATTTGCAAATAAGGAGCAAGAATTCAGGTGGTAACCTTGAAAAGCAGCTGAGGAATTCATTGAGGAAGAAGCAGACATTCCAGAGGACAACTCTGAATTATGGTACAGATGCCCTTACCCACTGAAACCAGATTTCTATAGTTCTCCAACATCACATCTCTGTACAAGTCCCTCTGAGCAGGGCCCAGGCACTCCCATTCCTCCTGAGAGAAGTCTAGAGACACGTCACTGAACACCACCGATCTCTGAAACAATAAATACACATGCTAGCTGTATGACACAAGATACATTTCTAAAACTTGCATGCCTGTGTGGAGTTAAGCGAATGAGTAATTATAGTGGCATCACTGAGATCCAGGACCTCTGGGCCTCAGAAATAGATGACAGAAAGCCTGGCATGCTGGTGCATAACTAGAATAGCAGCACTGGGGAGGCTGAGGCAAGAGGACTGATCGAAAGTCTGAGTTGTCAGCCTGGGTTATGTAATGAGTTCAAAGCCAGCATGAGCTATATGGTGAGACCATGTCTCAAAATGCAGAGCCTGAGATGTGGCTCACTGGTAGAGCACGTGCCTGGTATGTGTGAGGCCCCAGTTCAACTGCCAACACCAAAAAAAATTTTTCTAAAAAACTATTTCCTATTAATAAAAATTTTTAATTCTTTTTCAGTAGCTGAATGTTCTGAGCTCTGACTGTATGAGCCAACAACTTAAACATGCCAGCCCACCTCACTAGCATCATCCATCATTCCTGCCCTTACTTCTGAGATAAAGAAAACTAATGATTCATATACAGCTTCATCATGACCCATATTTCCTGTTGAACTTCAACTTGGACTTGTTTCATAGATGCCCTAAGAGGTCTGTACCAGACACAAATCCCACAATCCCCAAAGCCTCACAGGCTAGGAGATCCTTCAACATCTGGAGCTCCCAAGCCCATCCTCTGTTCTCTCAGTGGAAAATGTCTGTTTATAGACATGATCTTGGCTTCTCCATGTCTGTTCCTAGCTAAGCAGCTCACATTGACACCTCCTCAAATCACAGTCCAGGCAGGACAAGTTCATTCTACAAACCAACTCCCTGAGCTTGCAATTTCTTTTCAGCATGATGCCCAGGAGAAGGCTGAGAAAAGATGCTGGGTTCATCACTAAATGAAAACGACGCTAGTCATCAAGGGAGGACATAGGATTATCTAGCTAGAATGGAGGAATGGAGGACCAGGATCTTGAAGGGAATCCTTACTAGCTAGAAATGTCAGCATAAGAACACAAACAAGGGGTTTTTGTTTTTGAGATGGGTGTTGCTGTGTAGCACAGGCTGGCCTGAACTCATGGTCCTATGGCCTCAGTCTCCTCAGTAGCTAGAATTATAGGCATTTTACACCACTGCACTTCTGGCTCATATGAAAAAAAATAATGGAATGTCAGAAAGGTTGGAAGCATCAGTTACCTCAGCCATGGTTTTCAGAACTGCAGGATATGGTCAGTCTTCCTCAAGGCGCTTCTCCTAGGGGAAAAAAGAGTGTTCTGAAAGGGTAACACTGGAGAAGGAAAGAAATATTCTAGAAACTATACCAGTTTTCCAGTGCTTAAAACGGTCAGATAAAATTATCTCTACTTTCCTTGTTAGACTTAGTTAATGGAAACACTACCTTTATTTTAGCTTATACTGGTTTTTGTTGTTTGTTTTTGAGACAAGGTCTCATTCTGTACCCTGGCTGACCTAGAATTCACTTTGTAAACCAGGCTGGTTTGAACTCGCATCTGCTGCTGCCTCCCAAGTGCCATCACACCCAGCCATTACACTGTATCGTATTTATTTAAGACAGGGTCTTCTTCTGTAGCCTAGACACCTCTCAGATTCATAATCCTCGTGCTCTAGGCTCCCAAGTTCTGGGATTACCAACATGTGCCATCAAGCCCAGCTTGCAACCCTAGTAACCGCAGGCTTTAGCTTCAGTAAGACAGACTGTGATAGCTGGATCCAAGGGAAGAGGACACTCAGATTCCCGGCTTAGATGAAGGATTCAGCCAGATGTTGCCCTGCCTTAGTGATGTAGCTGAGCCCAAGGCTGGGCTTCTATGACCTCCCTTAAGCAGATCCTTTCTCTGTAGCTCCCAGGACCCCAAACCAGAGATTACAGGTGTGTGCCTCCACTTCCTGGCTTTTTTACATGAGTGCTAAGGATCCCAACTCGGGTCCTCATGCTTCTGCAGTGAGTACTTAGCTTACTGAGCTATCTCCTCAGCCCTTATTTATAATTTAAAATATTTTTCAGGGCTGGAGGAATAGTGCAGCCATTAAAGGCTAAGGCTAACAACCAAGAAAATAGTATTTTGTAATTCTTAGTGCTGGAGAGATATTTCAGCGGTTAAGAGCACATCCTGTTGGTTCCCAGCACCCAATAGCGGTTCACAAACTGTCTGTTAACTCCAGTTCTGGGGTAGCCAATCCCCTTTTCTGGCTTCCACTGGCACCAGGCACACACATGATGCACATACATGCATACAGCCGAACACAAAATAAAAATAAATAAACAGCTAGGTATGGTGGCACCTGCCTTTAATCCCAGCACTCAGGAGGCAGAGGAAGGAGGATCTCTGTGTGGCCAGCCTGGTCTACATAGCAAGTTCCAAGCTAGCTGGGGCTATAGGGACCCTGTCTCAAAAAATTAAAAATAAAAGACTCACCCTCCCATCTCCCCTGCCAGTCTCTCCTCCTAGCCGGGTCCTGTCCCATTCCTTGTCTTGGCGCCCCAGACACCTGGGGAAACCACTATTGCTTCCTGATCCTTTGTATCCAGAGCAACTCAGTTCCGTTTCAGGTCTCCAGGAGCACTGCTTCTGGGCCTGGCCCCGCCCTCACCTCCCTCTTCTTCCCTAAGCCTGCAGGACCGGCAGGCCTCTCTCTCCAGGGTAAGTATATACTGCCCTCTGTCCTCCATGCCTTGATTCCCCCAGGCTCACGCACCCCCCCACTCCCCACCCCCCATCTCTTCCCCTAGCCTGGGTCCTGTCCCATTCCTTGTCTTGGTGCCCCAGACACCTGGGCCTCTTTCCTGGACACTTGGGCTGACCTTTCCTCTTCCTGGTCCTTTGCATCCAGACCAACCCAGCTCCCCAATGCAGTCCCCAAGGGCCCTTGGAGCCAACTCCCATCCCCATCTTCCTTTGCATCTCTGGTGGCATGGCCATCAGCTGCCCTAGACCAGCATCTTCCCTTGGTCTGGCTCCCAGGCCAGTCCAACCCCCAAATTCCTGAGGCCAGAATCTATCTTGGTGGGATCCAGACCTTAGGAGAGAGCCTGAGAACATCTGATCCCCATCTGACTTGGACCTCCCCAATATAAAATCAAAAGAGAGAACTGGAAGCTAAGAGGAACCAACCTTTCATGCCCAAAAATTAAACCACGAAAAGTCTTTGTGGTTTAATTTTTGGGCGTGTAAACCATAAAGTTCACAAAAAGAAGCAGACCTAAACTTGAAGGCTTGAGTCTCACACAAGAATCAGAAACTACAAAAGAAATTCACATAGTG